CGGTCTGGAAATTGCAGTTGGCGTGCTCAGTGCAAAGATAGTAATCCTGGGTGATACACCGTATGTGGACCCACTACCGTTCCACGAGACTGCCAATCTGATGGTGGCCGAAGGGGGTCAGTGAATGGACGAAGACAGACCACAGGGGATGATGATTCTGAAGATGCTACACGGCGGCCTGGAATTCATAGTTGTTGCGCTCGGCGTGAATAGGGATACGTTACGTGGTAGATGGCAATCGTGGGTAACACACCGTACGTGGAGCCGCTAGTATGGGTCCGCCGGAAGGCCGATCAGACAATGGTGGTAGTGGGAGGCCGGGAAGTGATAGGTTTTGGATAGCTTGGCCTGCGCCCCTGGCACTTCAGGCAGACATATGTAGGACCCATATTAGGGTAGTTTATTACATGTGAGATGACTACCCTAAGAGGGTCCCAGGTATAGGGGGACACCCGTTGGCACCCATCCACCTGGGTGCACCCACCGAATTGGATCTGGGAGCATCCACGTCACTATATGTATGTCTGGGAGCACCCAGCCCATTTATTTCACCGGGAGCTCCCAGGTGCATCCATCACGCGCCGGGAAAATTTGGCTTTTTTGGGCCCTGGTTTGCACACCGCTGGGGCCACACCTACATGGACCATCTTTGGTCCTATATACAGCCCAGGCCAGGGCTGTCTGCTGCTTCTGCAGGCCAGATACCTGCACGCAGCGTGGGGGGAAAATAAAATTTGGCTTTTGGGGACCCCCAGCAGCCTGGTTTGCACACAGCTGGGCCCACACCTACATGGACCATCTTTAGTCCTATATGCAACCCAGGCAAGGGCTGTCTGCTGCTTCTGCAGGCCAGGTACCCACACGCAGTGCGGGGGGAAATTTTTTCGTAAAATTTGGCTTTTTGGGGCCCCGGTTTGCACACGGCTGGGACCACACGTACATGGGCCATCTTTATACAGCCCAGGCCAGGGCTTTCTGCTACTTCTGTGGGCCTGATACCCATGGGCAGCGTGGGGGAAATTCTTTTGTATTTTGGGCTGCCAGCACTGGGCTTCAGCTCTATTGGTGTTATATATATATACATATATACTAGCCCTGGTATCGACCCGCATGCAGATACCTCCTTCCCTTCTCTTTGGCACTTAACGTTCAGCTGCTTCACTTGCTCATTACCAGTTTAAAGTTGTATTTACGGGTCCGTGGGCACTCCCATCGACCAGCCATGGGAGTACCCTGTGTGGTCTACTGGATGCTCCCAGTCTTGCTGCCGGGAGCTCCCACCCTTATTCCACTATTGACCGGGTGCTCCCACCATGAACATCCCTGGGTGCACCTGCTCACAGCCATGGGTGCTCCCATCTTCAGGCAAATAACCAGGTTCCTACCCAGCCGCGGTTACGAGGTTCATATACAGAGTAGCGGGCTTGGTAGCGGGAGTTCAATTGATATCTCAGAAATTGAATTGATTGGCTGTTACATTTGACGTGTGACCAGACAACGTGATGTGATAGAGTGACCAAGAACAGGGATGAACCTCTCCACAGGTTCCTACCCAGCCGCGGTTACGAGGTTCATATACAGAGTAGTAGTTTTTCAAAATTGAATACAGAGAAATGACTAATCGGAAAAATCGGACCGCGTGATGTGACTGTGTTATTAGTGACCAAGAACAGGGATGAACCTCTCCACGGCGGCTGGAAGAAAATATATACAAACAACATAGCCACAACTTCCAGCTAAAATCGTTGAGGGCCGATGCTCATCTCAAATAAAATACTTTAAGTGCTCCAGTGGGTTTATCTGCATGGTATTGGAGTTCACAAAAAAACTACAAGGGCAAAATCAGTCCCTTGTGAGACTGTTTCACCAAGCATCGGCTGAAACGGTGCTGTTGGCAGGAATCCTTTTATTTAAGGTTGCGGAGAAGCAATATTCCTCATCTATCCCACTTCTAGATGTATTCCAAATGCACTGAGGCCTGACAATCATTTTATTTCAGTGTGAGGAAGGTGAGGCATGATTTTAGCTATGATTTCCAGGAATTGTGGCTATGTTGTTTGTATATATTTTCTTCCAGCCGCTGTGGAGAGGTTCATCCCTGTTCTTGGTCACTCTATCACATCACGTTGTCTGGTCACACGTCAAATGTAACAGCCAATCAATTCAATTTCTGAGATATCAATTGAACTCCCACTACCAAGCCCGCTACTCTGTATATGAACCTCGTAACCGCGGCTGGGTAGGAACCTGGAGAGGTTCATCCCTGTTCTTGGTCACTAATAACGCAGTCACATCACGCGGTCCGATTTTTCCGATTAGTCATTTCTCTGTATTCAATTTTAAAAAACTACTACTCTGTATATGAACCTCGTAACCGCGGCTGGGTAGGAACCTGGCAAATAACTGGTGGTAGCACCCACCCATTATGCACCTGTCAGAGGCGGGAGCACCCACCCTCTTTGAGGTGATCATGGGAGCACCCACCTGTATCTTCTGGGTGCTCCCATTGATACCCACCCAAAGTCCACTTGACTTGTGTAAATTTTCTGAACAATTTTGTTTTACAACCAAGTCAATTACCAGCATTATTGTGATGTCTACCTACTCTGCGTTGAGGGACATGCCCCAGGATATTCCACTTGCAAGGGACAGTACCCTGCAAGTGCATGGCAGAAAATACAGCTACCTCCCCAGTTAATGCCCAACAAAAGACAATCCAATATTTAATCACACATTCACTTTCAGTACTTTATTGCTTGTCTTTTGCATATTTCTCTGTGTCATCCGGCTGACTCTCCCTTTTTGGCACAATAGCAGTAGTCTTCCCTTTTTGGTTGTCACCCAATTTTTTTTGACAGACCAGTGATACCGGGCTGGCGATTTCGGACCACGCGGATAAACAGGCTGGTCGGGGTGCACAATCAGGAGGATGACTGCTCAAATTTCATGTATTCTGATATTCTGAGCATATGCAGCGTGCATGTTTCTATCTGCATGAGAATATGTATCTATGTAATCCAATCAGATAATTTTTCTCGCATTCATTTTAGCCTTTCTGTGTATCATCCCACCACAAACTTGCTCTGCACATGTCCTACCCGTCAGTTGACGCCCCAGAAACCCTGTAGGGGCTGTCCTACACGCTTGTGGGAGCCTGTGGACCCTTTGGTTGCGCTTTTCACCGGTCTGTTTTGCCTCTACAGCTCCTTCTTGACCTGGACACCTGGCGCCAATTCTGGGCCTCTCAGGCGCGAATCCACCTCGGGAGCAACGCAGAGCGGTTCTCTACAGACCATACATCCCCTGCATCCACTTTTTGCCCGTAGATCTTCGGTGCTGTGATCGGTATTGATGGAACACCCAACCACCGTGTAATTCTCCCAAATTCTTCTTTCTTTTCGGTGTCTTCTCAGCGTGGGAGTTCTGCAATGTCGAGCGGCGGGAATTGGTTCCTAAACAGCCTGTGAGTAACATTTCCCCTAGATGATTGGTTGTAACTTACGCGTCCACCTTTTCTTGCATCAGACAGAAGCTGGGATCTCCAGCGCTGCGTCTCTGGGCTTTGCTGGCTGGCGGCACAGCACACAATATTTCCCTATTGTCTGGCTTTCCTTTCTTCTACCACAATTCAGCAAATGTGGTACATATGTGGGTACTGTTACATCCATGCATCCTTGGGCTGGCTGGCGTTTCAAAATTGTGGAGAGGGTTTTACGCTATCAAAGTCTACTGAGTGTTTCCCTTTGGTCTGACAGACTTATATTACTCCAAGACCCTTATTCTCTTCACCATCATCTGACTCTTTATTGTCTTACCTTACAAAGACACCAAGGTGTCTTATTGTCTTAACATTTCTACTTACCAAGATACCACACGCGATTGTCTTCATAGAACAATTAGCGTACCTAGTTTAAAAGCTTATTAGTTATGACTTGTACTTCAGTTTGATTATTAATTGTTTCTTCACATTGGTTGCATCTCTGTCTCTTCCTTGTCTTCATTTTGTCATGGGATGTCCCACTTCCCTTGTTTTTCCGGTGGGACATCACACTTGCCTTCATTTTCTCGTGGGATGCCCCACTCCCCTTGTTTTTCCGGTGGGACATCACACTTGCCTTCATTTTCTCGTGGGATGCCCCACTCCCCTTGTTTTTCCGGTGGGACATCCCACATGCCTTCATTTTGTTGTGGGATGTCCCACTCCCCCACCCTTTTCGCCATTAATGACTTGCAATTTTTTTTTTGTCTTAATCTCTCACTTCAGTTATTTTATCTGTTCTATTCCTCTAATAGATTTTGAGCCACCCATTCCGTAGCCTACTCCAATCGACATCATATATATCAATACTTGTATCTTAGCCCAAATTCTCTTTCACCCTTTTTTTTTTCTAATCCAAGTCATTTCCATTATTCAAGTATTTAATTATCCATACTATTTATTGAATGTGTACAAGACTTCTTTCACCGTTGTCTTTTTTTTCTTTTTCTCCATGTCATCCACTTCAAATTCCCTTTTTGGGACGATAGCGGTAGTGTTCCGTTTTTGGCCACCACCCATTTTTTTATGCGAAGTCATTTTCACTATTCAAATAAAATGTGTCACCATTGATTCACCCTGAATAGTTGATGGCAGACATTCGTTTCCTACTGTATTGCCCTCTCTCTTCCACTTTTTCATGTCACTCAGCCAAAACTTCCTCTTTGAGACGATATCGGTTGTTGTCCCCTGTTTGGGATGTCCCACTGCCCTTTAGGCAATTAATGACTTGTGATTTTATTTTTCTCTCAATCTCTGACTCCAGTTAGTTTATCTATTCTATTGCTCTAATAGATTTTGAGATTCATTACTCCAATTGACATTATATACATCAATACTTATTTATCTTGGCCCAAATTCCCTTTCACCCATTTTTTCATGCTAGTCACTTGCATTATAAGTATTCATTGAGTACTGAATCTATATGTAACATTTCCTCAAAAAAAAATTGAACACAAAAGAATGGCCTGGCCCCGAATTGAACGAGGAACCTCCACAAGGGCGTTCACGTATCTGGAGCCCAAGAATACGCAGCGTGATACCATTACACTACCAAGCCCATGCTCAGGGAAGAAGGCATTGGAATACCGTGCAATTTCTCGCCATACCTACCGCCCCCAAAAAAAAAACAATCAAGAAAGTCTGTTATATCCATGCAACATCCCCAGTCTTCTCGTCGACCTTCCGGTAGCTCCGGTAGGTTCCGAGGCTCCGGTATATTACCGGAGCCTCCGGACCATCCGGTACCATCGGGTTTTTACGCAATGAAGGATTACTGAGCGTTTCCCGTCTATCCGTCTTCCTCCCTTTTCACTTATTGTCATACGACTTCTCATCAGTCCATCTGACTTGACTTATTGTTAAGAACCACTCTCCTTCCTTTTATGGAATACAATTAGATACTTAGTATAAATATGTCTTTAATATGTCCTGTACGTCAGATTGATAATTGATGTTGCTTGGCTCACTTTCCTTGCACTGAGTCGTCTCCGTCCTCTCCGGTTCCCTCCGGGACTCCGACTTGTCTTCCTCTATCGGATACCTGCCGGTTAGGGTAGTTACTCACCCTTGACCCCCTGTGGTGTTGTGATACTCCTTCGTATACGTTCTGGACCCTCCGGCTCTCTGACGCTCCAATATACCGGAGCCTCCGGTCCCTCGGCCATTTACTCTTCGGGTCCACCCCGGCTCGGTATATAACAAAGTCAGACAAAAAGAAAAAGAAAAATCAGAATCAGAAACGAAACATTTCTCGTACACAAAGAAAAACATGTTAACAATTTACAGCAAATCATAAGGAATCTCATATTGATGGTACGGAGTCTTCGCCCAGATATCATATTCCTTCATCATCACCTCTATCTGGGCGCTAACGTCCTCCAACTGAGTCTCATCCTCGAACGAGCTGCAAAGTTCATCGTATAAATCTTGTAGTGCTCTCATCCGGTCGGTGAGGAGGCGCTCGGCGGTTTCGCGGGACGGCTTGCACCGCAGGTGGGTGACCCCTTCTGGGACCAGCTTGTAAGCATTCACTGTTCGATAGTATCAGTTCGCCAGTCAGAGGCCAGACAAGACAACTCCACGCACCAACATGCAATTTGCGCCGGTGTCTCTCTCGTCCTTGGGACAAGAGTACTACAAAACCAGTCAACGTCCTGATCATGCGAAACACAACAAATACCACGCACCGGTGGCCGCTCATCGGCCTCATTACGCAACAGATTCTCCTCAGAATAAATGTAACACACCCTACAGACGTCGCAACTTGGGTGGAGTTCACCGGCCAAGTAGAAAACTGGGCGGTGTGAGCCGGCTCCACACGCCGACTCCGGAAACTCATAATATTCCTCACAACAGCGGAAACGACTAGCGGAGAAGGAGGAAATTCCCATACAAAACGAGCATACTCAGAACGTTAAAAAGAGACGGTGCCGCTGGGAGTCAAACCTGGGACATCCGCGAAACAATCTGCTATGTCTCAAGTAAACCACGGTGCAACACCCTATGCTATGGCACCGATAGGCGGATGGGACAAAGAAGGACACATCCCGTCAACGATAAAAGCATGGAAACACTGTTAGGTCGCCAATTCAGCCCTTCCGCCGCTCGAAGAACACGTTCCGTCAACTTCCGCCGCTTGGAAAACACATTCCGTCAACGATAAAAGCATGGAAACACTGTTAGGTCCCCAATTCAGCCCTTCCGCTACCTATGGAACAGCTTCCACAGCTTGGAAAACCCATCCCGCCATTTGAAAGGTCCTCCCTCAATATTGAATGAGAAACAACCACCAGGATTGCAGTGGAAAACGAGTCGCATTGGGAAAATAAAAACCGAATCGTACAAGACAGATGGCCCGCCAGGAATCGAACCCGGAGTCTCCGCTGAAAATCCTTGATCTCAACAGGCATTCACGGCACGTTAACCCTTACACTACGGAACCGATACAGAGACGGAAACGGAGGATCATTCTTCAAATTATAAATCCCCGTTGACTAAAAACCACGCATACATGGATCAATTCTGCCTCGAGGGAACGCATGGCGGAATCCCGTCCAGTAATAATGAATGACCAACGGGATTTACGGCGGCGGAATCTCGAACCCCACACCATTGAAGGATACAGGACCATCGGAAGGCGATTCGCTAAGCGGAGATTGCCTGAACGAGAAAATATAACTGATGGCTGAACCACAATATCCTAAACGGGTTGATAACCGTAGATTAACATTGAAGAGAGTCCGGCTCCGTGGAGGGCTTGTGTTCGCCATGATAAAGAGGGAATTCTGCTGGCAGAAGTATGACGCAGGTACACTGTGTCAAATTACCACCACCAGGGTCCGCTGGCAACCAAAGAGTCGGTTCCACCAGCTCTGCCAGACTGTTTCATGCACAACGGAGTCAGCAGAGGCTCAACATTACTCCTGGGAAGGCAGTGCACTGGGCTCCGCTGGGGTATAAATACGGCGTAGTACTTGTAGTAACATCATCTAGTTCTCCCCTTGCAATCTAGGCATTTAAAACTGCTCTAGAACGGAAGGGAACAGTCAACGAAAAGAACCTAAGGTCACCGGGACCAAAGGGGACACCTTTCATTCCCTTCTGCCTCACTCTGCCGCTGTTTCCTCGCAGCGGAGACACTTATACCCCACCCATATTCGATATTCGCCTCCTCCGTCGCCACATAGGCCCAAGCAGAGCAGAACTCCCACTACAAACGACGCCGCAGACAACTCCATCGTATTTGCGTGTAGCCGTTAAAACCCCGTCGGGACACCTGGTCCTACAGTAGAGCAGGAGAACGATGGCACACCATTCAAGAGCTTTCAAAGGAGTGGACTCTTTGACGTAAAAAGGGAATTCTCCATAGAGGCAGAAGAAAGGAACGAAGCAGAGAGGGATTGTGTGGAATAGCGACAATTGCAACGGACCCGCCCTACATTTGTGTTTGGTAACACTCCGAAGTCGGGAATTACAACGGTGGAGACTTAAAAACAGGAGCAACATACCCCAGACTAGCGCCAGTGCTTCCCTCCGCATCACATCGGGGCTGACCTCTCTCGTTCTCGAGTGTAGAATGGAAAAGCAGTGTTAACTGGAAGGCTTTTCTCTCCCACAGGGAAGGAATCAGCGACCTTAGGATTCCTCCGTTGCGAAACGGAGTAGTTTGTACACCACCACATTTATAAAACATGAATTCTGCGGCTGTTGAGAGACTTCAGACATACAAATTTCCCCCTAGAGGACGAACTGCTGAGTCTGCCAAGCAACAAACCGACTTGCCAGCAGTAGCACCGCAGTCCGAATCACAACGGGCATCATAGACTACAAAAAAACGCTGTAATTGTTTATAGTGGACATTTATGACTTGAATTACAGGTAGTACAGTTGTGGACAAACGAAGTCCACCAAAAAATAATCGATTTTTTTAGCCGAGATGAATGCACCAATCGATAGATCTCGTTGAGAGCTCTCAGTTGAGCTATAAATTAAGTGATTCTGTCGAGCCGTTCCTCCAGAAAATTTAGTGTCAGGGAGGGTCCAAAATTTTGGCGCCCGCTTAAATATCATGGGAAAAACATGTAAAATAGCGCAATCGACACAGCTCGTTGAGCTGCATCTGAATCTGTAAGAAATTTAATATTCTATCGAGTGGTTCAGGCACAATAAAACATTCTTTTTTCGATCAAATGTCAGGAATTTATGATCCGTTTAATGAACATGCCATTGAAATGTTGTTAGACAGTGTCAGCACAGTTCTACTGAGCTGAGGAACTACCTACCACTCATGCCTGCATGTCCCACGTTGAGCCGTATTGCACCGACTGGGGCGGCTGGTTGATCGCATCACTGTGGCTGTGCTCAACAAGGATAAATATTTTTTTCGGGATTCGTCTCTATCTGCAAATCTATTTTTTGGTTCTCGGCCGAAAATTTGGCGCCGCAAATTTGTCGTGGGAAAAACTTCGGAGCATGTTTTTTGAGCTCTTTGTGCAAGTCCGCATCTAATCCTACAAAAATTGAGGCCAAAATAATTCCCAATCAGGCTACAGACAATTTGCGGGCTTTGTTTGTCCACAACTGTAACGGACCGCGATCCGGACGCCTGTTGAATATTCAGAAGGCCCTCCGGGCACCCCTGGTACCTCTCGCTGACGCCGTCTCAGGTCTTCCACGTTGCCTGGGATTTTTGTCAGGACCCAATAATTGGTGGGTTAGGGCTACCGGACAGCCACGTTTTAGACCCGAGGTCTGATGGCTTTTTGAGGAATCGGTTTTCAGGAGCCTTGTTTAGGAAATTCGTGGTGGGTTAGGGCTATCGGACAGCCACTGTTACGCTTGTTTGCGTTTCGAGGTCTCTTAGACCTGGTCCCTAATTCGGTACCAGGAACAGCACGAGCAAGGATCTGTTGTTAGCGAGAGACTAGGCCCGCGAGGGCTCGGACGATTTCAATGTGTTTATGTTCTCCCTTCGAACTTGAGGCCAGATCGTTGTGGCCATGGGAGAAATTGGGCGCGATACTCGTGCTCGTGGCAGATACTGATACTGATACTAAATATTATGTAATATTTCACGTGATTTTGACGCGTCGATTCTGAGCCGAAACATCCAACAACAAAGATGCTCAGCTGGTTGCTTTGCCTCAGAAACAATTATTGGCAGACAGCCAAGGTGTCCATACATTATATCAGGCCAGTAATTCACAGGTTTGTTATGCTGTGACACCTATATAGAATCAATAATCTCAGATAGGGGCTTGATACGCTACAGACTTGAAAAAAAATGGCCAGGACTTTCAAGGACACAAAATATGGTAATTTCAATTCCCTTGGATCCATTTTCATGTTCCACAAGGTTAATTTATTTTTCTGTTCCCAACAAAAGGTACTGAATGATATATCAGTGTTGTCTGGGAGTGCTGCAGGCCTAAAAAAAATGAGGATTACATGAGAGGAAACCCTATAAGGTCAGGTAACATTTCTTTGGTGGAAAGGTTTGGCAGAACTCTCAAGTTCAGTTTGCATTGACATCATAAGTATGAATCCCAGATGGTTCTG